TTTTTTTTATGTTAAACAGCTGAAATGTATGAATACAGCTGAGATGAATAGATCTTTGCCACACAGGCTCCTGCTGAAACCTTTTGATTGCAATCTCCACTTGTACAACGGGGCCACGTCTCCCAAAGTCTGACGTCAGGTTTTGGCTTCAAATCTAAGCCTTAGGGATTTTTTTAACAAATACTGAAGAATAATTAAGTTCATGTGTAAGTATGTATGCTAGTATGTAACAAGAGACACATTGGGTAAAGATGAGGAGAATAAAAAACGCCTCACCTTATTATTTTAGCGATAATATTGAAAGGGGGAGTATGAACAATAGTTATGCACAGATAAACTAATCAGTGCATTAAAGTGGAAATTATACGGATTAAAAAAGCTAAACGAAAACGAACTGACAGTATATATTTGTCCTGGATTTTTATGGTGCTTGCAAGGATATAAATGTATGCGTTTGAACGAGTGCTTGTTTACTGTGCTTAAGATTACATTTGTGAAAATTAAGCACACATTCAATCTGTTAAGTGTTTATATACGTACCCTTGCACTGTGAGTTCATCAATATCTCTATAGATAAATGGTTGAGGGTTGTGGTCTTGAATTTTGGGCTGAGAGCCACACGTATAATTGTTAATAAATAGTTCATCTACTCTGTTTTGTGTTTGTCAAATTGAGAAGGGACATTAAATAATTTTTAAGTTTGTTGAAACAAATACATTTGGTTTAGAAAGGGTATTGTAGCCCTTTATTGTCATCCAGATACCGAAAATGAGGTTTTTCCTGCATCTAATAATTCAGTAACGTATCTATTTCTGCCAATTTAAAATATTAAAAACCGTCGAACATATAGAACATCAGCGTTTATATTTCTCGTTGCGATGTATAAGCATAGGCAACTCGGAACTTAAATCGTCGATTTAACAGCTATCTATTTTGAGGTGAGATAGCAATCGGTATGGGACGTAACTACATCCCTGAACAAGATTTTATCAAGAAAATTGGCAGAATTTACCGCGAGTGTTTGGGCCACAATCTCGTGCCGATATTTTGTTTAAAATATTTGTAATGAAGTTATGAGCACCTAATTACAGATTTTCAATAAACAAATGTATTAATTTGCTTAATCAACGATAAAATCTGAACTAAAACTTTTGAAAAAAATTGCCGGCAGGGTTTTTGAGTACGAAATAGTGTCATTAAATCAGCGTTTAAACGGTGATCGTGGGTGCTCCGGTAAAAGAGAGATTTGAGAAATCGCTTTTTCAGTTTTACCCCAAAATCGCAATTATGGTGTCACCCGTAAGATGACATGTGTAAATGTTTATTTAGTCACTGAACACTGAAGATTTATCTATTACCAAAAAGAATGTATGTAGGGCAGTTACTAAGGAGTTTTGGGCGAAAGGTGACAATATCCTTATAATTCGCATGTAAGTCGGAGGTGACGAGTACGCCTAAAAATTTCATCACGATAGTTAGCAACATTAGCCATCCACAAACTGTTTAGCTCAAGTCTTCCATGTCGTATATATCATCGTTGGTCTCCATTCACATAAAATTATCTGTCCACTTCATATCTGTAAATTTACAAATCTTGAGCCACAATTTATGCTTCCGATTGCAGCAGAGGCGACTGTTTTCCTTTTCCCCGCCAGATGGCGATACAGTACGGTCTGGTTTGTCAAACGTGGCAAAAACTGCTCAAATAAACCTAGGATCCACGTAACATATTGGAAAGAGCATGTACCACGCGAGGACTATACAGTCAAAGAAAAGGCTGAGGAAAGTTGTTTACTGGATCTTGGTTTTATTTCACGCAGGAATTCACAAGGCACGTAAACACTAAAAAAGAAGAGAAAAAATTAGGCCTACAAGAATACACTCACTTCCCGTGGTTAACCATGCATAAATCAACTTATACAAAACTTATTAATTTCAATAATCACTAATAATCAATAACCAGTATTAAAAAACTCACCATTTCTGCCATTCCTTAAGCCATAAATTCTAAGTAACAAATCAAAACTAGAAATAACTGACCAAAAAGAAAGAATACTCGGTATACTGCGTGTTCTTCCTATGGACACAATGGGCCGAATGAAATGAAACGTTCAAACTAATGGGAGTAGCCCTGAACCAAAAAGTTATCACTTATGCAAATGTGCGTTGCATCAGATGTGCTGGATCACCTGGCTCCTCAAGAACAATACAAGAAAAGTGTCCCGTCACTCGTTTAGTTCTAATGAGAATGAAGTACGCACAAAGATAAACAAATGTTTTGTTAGTCCAGAAAGGAACAGGTTTAAAGATACATTTGAAGTGAAACATTCGCCAATTAACCCAATAAAATGCCATCATTTAGTTTTAAATTGTATATCTCTAAGAAACATCAAAAGGTTTCATCTAATACTTCCAGAAAATGATATCTGAACGAATATTTGTTGTGTTCTTTCTGTGCTAAACGTAGCCCTCGGTCGTTTTCGCCAACCCCCATATGAATATTTATTCAATTGCTCGGACAGCAGTAATGTTTGTAAATTGGCGAAAGTTTACAAACTGAAAGGGCAGATAAGTAGGTCAAGACAGGCCCGTAGCCAGCAATTTAAAAAGGGGGGTTCTTTTTCTGAAAAAGTGGACCTTTTCCCATAAAAACTTGTACATAGATCAAATTTTACCCAGAGTGGACTTTTTCCCAACAAAAGGGGCGGTTCTTTCGAACCCCCCGAACCCCCACCCCCCCCACCCCCCCCCCGGCTACGGGCCTGCAAGTTTAATCCAAAGAAAGTGCAATATTATAATTATATTTTGGCTGGCCAAGTGATAAATTTGGTTTTTCCTTTGACGTGTCGACTTTATTTGAGTTGTATAAGAAACTCAGTAGTAACAATGGTTTATATGCGTTACAGGAAATCTACGCTCGCTTCATATGTAACTTTAGGCTCAATATGACCTTTTATTAAACAAAAGTGTGTATTGTCGTCGTAGATCAATTTGAAAGTACAGCGGTTTTTTAAAAGATTTAAGCGACCTTGAACTATTGCTAATATATATACTAGTCCACGTTTCCAGCATAAAATCATTAAGATTTCTTTACGTTTTAATACTTTGAGAAGAAATTATTATATAGATATTGATCTTTTGAGTAATACATTAAATTTTATCTATTTCTTTATCCAGTTTTATGATAATTGAAAAAAATTACATTGAATGGTTACTTCTTTTTATAATGAAAGTGTGCTTATTTCAACAGGCTAATATGATGGATTTGATTTTTTTCTTGTCCAATTTTTCAATAAACGAAAACGCATACGAAACCCACGTTGTGGATCAGGATAACAACAATAACTTGAGAAAGATCCGTTTATTTTCAAGCATTACAAAAGATACGACTACTCGGTGCAGGGTTTTGAGGAAAGTACCAGGGAATTTGAAGCAAAAATTACAATATTGATTCTTGCCCCTCATAATTCATAGAACTCAATAACCACCTCTGTATTGTTCAGGGGTGGATCCAGGATTATTTGAAGGGGGTGGGGGTCTGCGGATGCAAAGCCAACCCTTACCCCCCCCCCCCCACCCCACCTTGGCGTGGAGCCCCGAAAAAAAATTTTTCTTTTAGAGGGCGAACGGTGCCATTTGGTACGGTTTAAAACTATGTTTCAGCTAGTCAAAATTCTATAATTTCATGAGGGTACCATTGGTGTGATTTCTTTTAGAAATCGAAGGGAGGACGGGGGTCAGGACCCCCCCTGACACCCCTAAATCTGCCACTGTTGTTGTACAACATTAAATAGACTCTAAAATCCCACGTACCCACAAATGCTGAACTAATATTTATAAAATGGGTTGAAGATCACATATTCACGTGTGCGGCATATCGGACCTTTTTATTTGAGCAAAGAAAAGTCTTGTGCGCTTTGTCCGACGCCCTTTTCTTACTAGCGTCTAAATAAAAACAGATTCAAAACAATATATATCAACAATTCTTTAAAAAATATTGCAACATCCAATCCAACACTTTTAGTGTTTACTTTAGTAGAAAATAAGTTATTTGTGCTGAAAAACAATACAACCGAGACCAGATTGTTCACCGATGGCAGGTCAAGGTCACCAATGGCAGGTCAAGGTCGAGGTGTGCTCCCTGAGCTCTGACGCTATTCCCCTTCTCTCTGCCGAAACGACAGTGCAACAATTAAGCGAGACAAAACTCTATTCCTGTGTATAATGTTATTGAAAAATTGCCCTCGTCTTCTGTTGAATTTTTGTTTCGCTTCGTTCAGCAAACCTTTCATCCTCGATACCCTTAAACTTGCCCAACCCCTGGTTGCAGAACCAGTTTTCTCACTGGGCCAAATTAGAACTGCAATCCCCAAGTTGACTCAAGTCAACTTTTGTTCACCATTCTTGCAGATCAGTGGAATGTCAATGCATTCATCATTAATTGTCTCAATACTTGACCTTTTCCATTTTTTTCATTAAAAACAAAGCCCCTTCTAATTTTCTCACGCACATTTAATATCGTTTTTCTAGACCCAGTAACAGTATCACTCTTCTTCTATACCGACTGAAAATTTCACGACCCCATTGCTACAGCCGGACTCCCGCCGGGAGTTCACGGAGCCGCTGGATGCCGTGCACGGAAACTGTTCCACCGTGTGCCTCCTCAGTCCCGGCCGGACCACCGTGGTGCCCCTCTGCTCACAGTTCCCGTTCCAGTCCTCCTTGATTGGCGTCAGGGCTATTTGTGAGTCACATTTAAGGAATGTCGCAGTAGAGCTCACGTTAAGGAATACAGGGCACGAGGCGTTTGTCCCCAACAACCGCGTGTAACGCACGTCTCGGTTTACCGCCAAACGTGCCGGAACGTTCGTGGTGCTTTGTCCCTCCTTTACCATCGTGTCCATTCTCTCATCCGTGCAGCACTTGCAGAACAGAATGCAAAAACACTTGCGAAATTTCGAATTGAAAGCACTGTACAATATGATATTCACAGCTGCGTTGACGCACAGCAACGTGTCTGTTATTTCACGTATCCCTTTGGCAAGGCAGTTCTCGTTCTCGTGATAGCCGATCTCGAACACAGTGGACATGATTGCATCTGGAGTGACGCACATCAAGAAAAGCACAATCACGCTGAGAAGCATCACCGTGATGCGGTGCCGCTGAGAACGTTTCTTATTTGCCCGCGTCGCTCTGATAGCGCGGATGATTTGGAAGTTCATGATGGCGAGGATAAAGAGCGGTATCACTGAACGCAACAGATTCTGTATCCACGTGTACGCCGTGACAAATTCTTTATTTTTCCACAACTCCGTAAGGTCCACGTCTAAGTGATACATCCCCGTGGAGTTGTCGTACACCTTGACTGTTTTATACCGGAGAGCGGATGGGATGGCGAGTCCTGACATGACAAGGTAAATCACGACACTGACCACCGTAGCTCTCTGCGTGGTACACATGGTCTTGCCCCACATGGCATGACACACCAGAACGTACCTCTCCACCGCCACTGACACCAACAGCCACGAAGACACACACACAGACATTTGAAAGACGAAGTGTGAAAACGGGTAGAGATAGGCGTACATCTTTTGCCCCGTGGCAGGCGACGTGACGTACAGAAACACGGTCATGAAGTACAGAAAGTCATTGATTAACTTAATCATATCTGACACGGCTAGTGCTGAGAGGTACACGTTTGTTGACGACCTCATGGGTTTTTGACTGAGAACCACAAGGGTTAGAATGCTCCCAATAATACCAAAGGTACACAGGACTGGAAACACGTAGAGTCCCGTGATTTGCCTCGCTATGAAGTAGAAGTGCTTGTATTGGTCCGTGTCGTTATCGTTGTTGCTGTGGGACATCACGTGATCCATCAGGTGGACCACTCCAGTGTGATTTTCTTGCATGTCCGCCATCTTTGCTAGCAGAGTCTTGTTGATCCTGAGAGTTTTACGCAGGAATCACTTGGTGCCGCTAATTATAAGTTTTCGTTCCGATTGTTGGAACTGATGCACCTTGAGTTTTCTGAACATTTTTCTAAAAGTAAAAGAATAATTGATTTAGCCATTGTATTAAAAAAAAGGCTTTATAAATATAGAAATTGTGTCATAACGATGCTCAGCAAATATTTCAATAAATTTACCAAGTGTTACTTGATTCTGAAATAAAGTCAAATTCATCAATAAACTAGAAAAGCACTCCGAGAGCGCAGACCTCCGCCAATGCAGCGATTTTTTTATTTTTATTGATTGATTATTGATCCGGATCACCACCAACACTAAACATCTCTTCCTTGGCCCACTTCTGACAGTTCCTGAAAATTCATCAAAATCGGTCCATTACTTTTTGAGTTATGTTGATGACAGACAGACAAACAAACAGACAGACAAACAGGGGTGAAAACATAACCTCCTTGGCGTTCACAATGGACAGACTAACCAGCTGCAAAGTGAATGTCACAATTAAAACTTCATAAAATATTTAAATTCTGTGGTTTCCCAAGGCACTGTAGGCCCATCGTACCTGGCATAACTTTCAAAATACATGAAATCACTGAAGTCTCTGAGGGTTGTTTGCTGTTGTTATCTGGTTCTATTACAAAACAGAATCATATAATTGTAGTTGGATTTTTTCTTTTATTGCCATTGCCATTTTGATTATTAGGTCTACTCTAAGAACGAATTATACACACTGATAGATGTATAATATATCAGTATATATTAATCACGTATGATAATTATTCTCCAAGTTTTAAGGATATTTAATTTAAAGTTTCAGCAAAAATGGAGGAAAAATAGGCCATAGGTGCTTTTCTCTCTCTGTCTGTATGCTCGATACGACCTTCAACGACTTATGGTACCAGTTTCAGCGTCCAGTTCCTTGCTGCGTCCCATATTTTTCTCTGTGTGTTGATTAATATTCCTGTATTTTTCTTCAGTTATTTAAGGAACAGGACCCTTTGTTCGCCTTTAGCTTTCTTCTCATGGATCTTTCCGGTTGCGGTCTTTGAGTTCCAAGTGGTTACGGTAAAATTTTAAGTGTGACGCTGTTACGAAAAAGTGTGGCGGTTACCCGGTACCAGAGAGTCCTCCGTGATGGTGACTGTCGGTACGACAGGAATTCCTAGTCGGCGTGAATGGAAGTCCTAGGAATGAAAGCCTGGGGTCCTATATGGTAATTGCAAGTTAAATTGAGTCGGAGAATTAGTGTTAGTATATGTGACGAATCTCAACTGTACAAAGTATTGGGGAACGGACTACGGTTCCCAGCGGACTTCTTTTTCTGCCACACCGGACCGGTTCCTATTAATTTGTACAGGTCTCCTCCCTAAAAAATTCACCCAATAAATCACGCTATATCTTACCTTTGGATCTAATGGAGGGCGGGTTCTCTGTTACACGGAAACTACGTTTCTTGACACCGGACTTTCAGTTTTAAAACAGCGCATCCAAGTGGCTCTACAATGGAAGGACTGTGTGTTGCTTGACACGGACCTAACTGAATGTTCTGTTTAAATAGTGCTTATGTAAAGGAAGACCTGCTAAAACGACCAGATGCAAATACTTCTCCATTCAAATTATGACCACCTTATTTACGTCGGTAAAAAGCCTCGTTCCCCCACGCTTCATTTGCCACCTTTTATCTCTATGACGAATTCCTTGTCAAGACTGCGTCATAAGCCGTGCCTCGCTCGCCTCCGTTGCGCCTGTCATGAATACGCTAAAATGTCCCCAGTTTATTAGGTGTACCTGTATAAGAGCTAGTTCTTCTAGTGGTCAACCACATATCGATTACCCGTACGACGACAGGTGTATCATGATGGCAGCTATCGGATATACTGAGGATATAATATCCACACAGTGCAGAAAAGTCATGTTGTTCACTCCGAAAACTTGGCTCACTTTGAGTCAATTACCCCTTCACTTTTTAAGTTCTTTTTTTAATATTTATGCGAACTTGTTTCAAAAAGCATAAGCCAAATAGGCCTACATTACATTTCGTTACTCACACAACTGAAAATTCAACCATCGTTTGATATGGAGGAACTATGGTCCATTGCTTTAATATGTGCAAGGACTGATACCTGATCTCACAGTCTCTCCCTTGTCTTTCAGCTCACGACGGTTTCAACGTAAGGAAAAATCTCCGCGCCACAGGTGCTTGCTCCCTTCAGCTTTCTTCAGAAATAAACGTATTCCTGAGCGCTGATCCAACTTCTTATATATGTGCTGCGTGCCTTCTGGTTTTTCTCAGACAGAACTTTGCGTCAATTTCCACACGCGGCCCTCAATTCTGCACGACAGAAATTGCCTCAGCCTCACGCTAGGAATTTCTGAGATTCCGGTGTAACGAAACTGAGGGTCCGTGAACCAGTAAAATCCGCCCTCCATTTATTTATAATGGTTAGGGTTAGCCTGACCTAAGTGGGTCAAAATCTAGAGCGAGGCTTACCTGTACAAATGAATGGGAAGCGGACTCTCTATCATATGGGACTCTCCGTCATGTTACATCTGGCAATGCAGCGCTATATATACAGGTCAAAATGACATTCTCTTTCTTTAATTTGGACCCTCGTAGCGAAATTGTGATGATTCTCAACTAAAGGTCGCAATTTTCCTGGAAAAAGGGGTGGGGGGAACGGGTAAGGCAGGGACTGAACACTAGGCCTACATTTGTTTAAAATAAACCAGAAAAGTATTTTTATTCTTCCATAAAAATTTTGGCCACCTGTCCCTCATTGATAGCCTTTAAATTCTCACTGTTATCATCCAGATCACGTATGCATGGCTTCATTCCCATTGAAACACTTAGTGGCCAATAAAGGCTTTTATTTGTTTTAGATTGCTAGAATGTAGTCGTATTTTCTCATTTATAATTCATACATAAATAGGAAACAGATCCGAGGAGGATTGCTAATCGCCCAAGGTGTTTTTGGTGAAAGCATCTTTAACACAATTTACGCCTAGCTTAGGACTGATCGCCTGCCAAACTGGTGTATTTTATCAAGTAAGATAATATTTATCAAAGCTTGAAGGGAAGCTCTCTAAGTAAATCCTATTAACGTTGATACTAATGTCTCGAACCTGAAGGTTTTCTCATTGTTATCTATCACAAATATTAATAATGGAAGAAAGGGCTTCTGTGCTTCTCTCGGGAATTCGAATTCCCAGCATAAAGGACATTTTTTTGAACATTTCTTTTGTTTTATTACCGAAACATACGAATTCAGTATTTCATAATCTGCTGAGCTGTGTTTTTTTCTATTGTGTATTGGTAAGTAAGTGCATTCATTCTAAATTTTGCTTACGGTGATTTGTTTTGTATTGAGAATGTAAAGGCTTCTGGGACACGCAAGAACCACGAATAACGTAATTTCCCCTGATTATCGATAGTAACGTATCACTCCAGTCTTACCCCGACTAGTGTGTGTTTCACGGATGCACAACAGTTTCTACGCAATCTATGCAACAGTGGTGGGTAGATAATGTTACAAATTGTCTCCGATTCTGTTTAAATTACTGATTTGTCCTGGGCAATGCGAAAACCTAAGAGCGAATGTTTTTAAGTATTCGATAATAAAGCAAACTGTGGCATGTTTTTTCCAATCAAATCTGGAATTAAATACATCAAGAAAGCCACAGTGGACTCCAGATATTTTACATACTTAACGCGTACACTTCCTAAATGCCCTAGCGATATCGTATGTGTGTGATCCGTGCGAACGAATACTGTCCAAGTCAATCAATAATCACCGCCGTCATTTATCGCGATCCCTTGGCTTCAACCCTGGAAGTATTAGAGTGCTTCAATGGGCTAGTCATGTTACCAGTGATCAACCGAACGTTTTCAATTTCTACTCCATCCAAACCCCAATCCAAGAATACTTTACATCTATTCCCCGTTTCAATATCGTGATTTAATCAAACAGCGCGCACGTTGAGGTAAAGCTTGTAACCACAATTCATTATGAACCTTACACAATCGGAAGGAAAATGCGGCTTTAATTTCAATTTAGCTTTTGTATTTTTTGTTTCGTAGTGTTAAATCAATAAACGCTCATCACTGGGGTATTGTATTAACTGTTCAAATAAGGGAATATACGCGAGACAACGATAATTGTGTGGATTTATCCGCACAGTAGTGAATGTCAATTGCATTTGACATTTTGAAGTATCAAAGCACACTGGAGAGATGTATCATGTGTAGATGTACGTTACTGACAGTCTAAAATGTGAATATAACTGTCACAAAAACCATCATACAGCTACAGTGACACCGGAATCTAACCTCATGCAGAAAAAAAACGGATGTATAATTCTTAACTATTATCGTATTTTCAACCATTAAAATTATCTATAAATAATGTCAGATATCGTTTCAAATGTCAAAGAATCATTAATAAAAAGTTTCAGTTTGTGCAATTTAACATCCTTCCAGTGCTTGGTATCCAAGGATGAGAAAGGAAAAAGGACACGATGCGCACGACCTGTCACGATGTAATTACTTTGTATTGTAAGTGGTAAACGCTTGGGGCTAAAGAGACAAAGGGAAAACCGCACGATCAGTTGCATACCAGTTGCAGTTCGATCAACGACCTATTAGCAACCGGTTGGATACCACAAATTGTTCTTTAGCTCGCCTGCAGGTTTTTCGATGCTGCACCAAAAACCTGCGTGACTATATAATTACCAGGCGTTCTTTTGGAAACCACTTGGCAAATATGTTGTAGCAACTGCAGGCCTGCCCAACTACCAGAATCGGCACCTAAGGATCCTGAATTAACCGGTATATCGGACCACACTACCCGTTTTCAAGGTGTGTGTCAGATCGCATTTCGGAGTATCAGCCAGAACACCGACAGGATGAGCCCTGGTTTGCTCGGCTGTCACCTTGATTGGATAGTAAACGAATGTCGTAAAATCGCTATATGATTTTAAAACCGGGTGCATAGATTTGAAAGCCACCTAGATGAACCTTAGACTGCCACATTAATCTAATACAATGCAAAAAAGCCCTATCAAAAGTGGTTAAAACAT